AGGATCCTGAAGCCCATGTACACCATTAGTTTGGAATCAGGGTTTTTCAACTTCCCCAAATGGACTCCACGTGTCCACCAACCCGATTAAAGTGACAGACATTCGATTTTCGTCCTCTCAGTTTCTTAAACAACACCCTCGACGCGAGAAACCGGTGAGTACGACTTCCTTGGCAGTGGTTGTATGCACGTGGCCATTTGAGAGCATTTCGAGAGAGAAAGGGTTAACTCTCCCCACTCTCTGCTGCACCAGGGCATTTGGGGTTATTTCCAGTATAGTTGAATTCTTGTATTATTATTAATTTCTTAGAGTAAAATAAATATGAAAACGTCGAAATTAAGAATTTATGAATTTTCAAAAATACTGAAGGATTTCTAAAAACATGTCATTCAAATCTTTTAATGATTAATAAACACATCGATTAAGATTTAATTTGTCAATATGGATGAAAAATTTCATTTTGAGGTCAACTGAATAACTCAAACTAAAAATATGGAGTATACAAAGACAAATAATCATAAACAAAGTCTATGGAATGATAAATGAATAGTTCATTTCTTTATTAAGTATATTCTAATAAAATCGTCCAAAGAGATCATGAAACCTCTGTAATAAAACTCTTTAGCTTAAAGAATTCAGCAAAAATAAAAATGTGTCCAGTTAAGTTATTAAACTGTGGTGAGTGTGTGTGTGTAGAATCATATCATGAATGCTAACAACAATACAATTTTCGTGTCTTAACAATCTCGTTTATATTAAATTGCTTATTAGACATCCAGCGACAAAGTGTTGATGAAATGAAAAAGTATTTTCAGTAATTCACTTGGTATTATTTGCTTGTATCTTCCCATTGTTGTTTGGAACTGCAGTTGATCAGTCTCTTATTGGTATATGTTCATCCTGAGCGGACTGCCTCGATATTGCTTTAAGTCACAAGCTTTATAATAATATTTAAGAATTATCAGTGAAGGAAATAATATCAACATGTATACCTAGAAGTAATCATGATTTTTTAATTACATAATTTATAATAAACAACAAACTATTTCAAATAGACCAATAATCACCTTTTACACTAGCCACTACACTCTCATTCACTTGGTGATCGATTGGATCATGAAGACGTCAACATCTAGGGGAGAAGCATGGAATACAGTGAGCAGCCAGTATGCAGCTGGACGACCGAAACTTCTCAAGTCATCTGGCAGCAGTAGGTCTCAACATATACAAAGGGAAGAACAAGATTCTCCAATACAACACAACATGCGACAATTGAATCACACTTGACGGAGAAGATTTGGAGGATATAAAAACCCGAACATATCTGGGCAGCACCATTGATGAACACGGTGGATCTGGTACGCGGATCCGTTGACCAGACACTATCAACAACAACCTACTATGGAGGAGAGCAAACCAGATCCCAGAGAAGGAGGAAATCAGTAAGAAGCGCTGTAAGTGGATAGGACACACATTGAGGAAGGCACACAACTGCGTCACAACGAAAGCTCTCACTTGAAATCCTCAAGATTAAGGGAGAAGCGGAAGACCAAAGAACACATTACGCCGAGAAATGGAGACAGACATGATAAGAATGAACAAAAATTAGATAGAACTGGAAAGAGAGGCAGAGGACAGGGTGGGTTGGAGAATGCTGGTCGACAGCCTATGTTCTATTTGGAGTAACAGGTGTAAGTAAGTAAAGTAATTTCATTCCACAGACCATAATATTCATAAAATTGAAAAGAATATGTGACAAGTACATAGTTTGGTTGTTCTTATCTCAAATCAATTGTATATATGATGTTTGAATGTTATAGAATGTTGAAGAAGGAAATGTTCATTTTTTTCTTTCGCTAAATGTTTATTATGTACAATTGAAATATAAACAATTTCTTTTGATTGAACGCTCATATTCAATTTCAAAAATCATAATTTATTGATTTTTGTAAATCATAAATGTACATATCGATTATCGATGGTAAGTATTTTGTGACGATCAGCAACAAGATCTGGACTTCTTGATTTAATGTCAGTTGGGACTTGTCATCAAGGTATACAGCCAAATCTTCAATAAATTAATACATGCTATCAAATTTAGACTATTGCGATTCTCCCTCACTCCAAGGGACTGATATATGACATGATCAGTGAATTCGTATATAATACTGCTTGATTAGATACTTGAACAATACGCTATACACAGACTAGATCATGTCATATAAGATGCCTAATTCATGAACCAGAGTAAGCCTAGACACAGAATTACTATCAGTCACTCTCAGTGAGGTTGAAGTAGAAATTAATAACAGGAGAGGAAATCACATATTTAACGATCAGTAAGCTGAGTAAATGTTTGGCTACGCTTAGTGTCTAACTGCATTTGCTTTCACTACCACACATCAGGGAACTTACTGCCGGACTGTTGAGATTACTCTTTCCCTAATAAAACAGGTCAGCCTTATCTGATGAATATAACGATGTATTCAATAACAATACACAGAATTGAGAGCATTGTTAATTTATATGACGAAATAGTAGTATGACTAATGCTTCATGTAACTGTATTGTGAACCTCAGAAAGCAGTTTTCCTGTTATCTGTTATACTTGATACTTTAGAATAATTATTTTCCTAGTTTAGTGTGGTTTCTGCTTTCTTCCAAAAGTCTACTTTTTCCCATTGTTGACAATGATTCTCCATTGCAAATCTCTTGAGATCATCCAAAAATCTCCACAATAATAAAGCAAGGCCACTAGACATAAGGTTTTTCTCAAAAGTGATAACTGAAAGTTGGCAAAAACATTGGTCATTAATAGAAGAATGGTGTTGGGTAGAAGTCAATTGATATGATCAACACTGAATTGGTCGATTATAGTGGTAACGACACGATTTTCCCCATTCATCAACCACATGTAATCACATATTGACTTAGTCAGATGTCTCGGTTATAGACGTCTTAGTAAATGATATTATAAACATTTTCACAGAGTAAGTTAGTGATTATTTGATTTTAAATACTATGCATTTCAAATTACACTAATTTGACCGTTAATAAATCGCATAAAATGTTGTGTATATAAATAGCATTTGGATTTGTTTCCGGGGTCAAATAAATCAATATCGGCTGTATTTATGTTTTGGGGTTTCCAGTACCAACACAAGTCAGTTAAGCATTCGTCGATACAACAGTGATAGACATAACCACTTGTCTCACGAATCAACTAAATTTGGAAATACCAATACCTAGAAAAATTTGAGGCATATTGAACTATGCTAAAATAGCTGACCATTAGCTTCGACATATGAAGAGTTATTTAGTTTAGTTTACTATTATTATTGGCTGATTAGGCTTTAAAATAAAAACTAATATGACATAACTCCAGTAGAGAAGTAGAAAATAACGAGATCATGTAAACATATGATAAGTACTCGAAGATACTTCAATGATGTACTTTGGCTATGAGGACATTAAAATAAAAAAGTGATATGAGTAATAAACACAATGTAAAATATCTCTGGAGATATTTAACTTAATGGACCAGCTTTAAATGAACACCCTCTAAAAATCATTTGTAGTTAGCAACCTTATCATGAAAATATAAAATTTTTGGATGAAGACTGTTAAGGAGATCTATATATAGACAATACAGTTATCGTGTAATTCCTTGTTTTTAATAGTTGTCTATACTGGGATTCAATAAATTGGATTAATTACCTACAAATTCAATAAACTTCATAAACAGTCCATTTGAAAAAAACCTTGTTTAATGGATGTTGATTTTATGAAACAGAGAGAGTATTGTCAACCCGAAATAGAAATAACTAAAGATGACAAATAACCAACCATTATTGTTTAATATCAGATTATGTTTGACAACTACTAATTAATACAATAAGTAGAGTTTATACCAATATTCAGTAAGGTTTTTGGAAGGATTTAAATGATGATACTAGTTAGATGTTAAGTCGTAAATGGACGATGAAGATTAGTTAGATAATAATAAAAAGCAATTCCATGAGGGATCATAGATGAGATGACCTGGTTAAGGATTCCCCAGCAATCCAGTATTATTTAGATTAAAAATTGGTCTTACAAAGGTTTGGCGCTCTTGGGTACACTTTATAACTTGTAAACTACACGAATCTGAGATAAAGCTGATTGATCTCACTATCTTCTTGATTTTCTTAAATGTTTGATAAGACAGAACTATCATGTACAACCAGATGGCATATAAATTGATTTTCCGAAGTGCATTTCGGGTAAAGGAGATAACCACGAAATATTATATTTCCTGTTCGGGACTTGTTTAAAACGCTATTTCAGAGACTGTCAAAATGAAAAGTATATGTCAGTGTTTCTACCGACTGGAGGAACATAAGAAAGGATTAATTTGTGGGGAGATATAGAAAGTTAGTATACTGTTTGTATATTCATTGGATGTCAGATAATCAAACGCTTGGTACATGTCAATATTCTTCAATAAGGCCTATCGTCAAATTTGTCAAAATCTATTCTTCCTAAGTAATTCAAAGTGATACGAAGCAAAGTTTTGGTTGAGAAAGTATCCACTGATCACTTCATTTAATTCCATTGGTAATTCCTATTTATGATTGTTAACAATACTGAAAACTGTACTCATAATGTTTCGATGACTAGATCCGACTATTCAAAGTGTACAATGCTACCAAATTACTTGATCAACTGACTTTATATTAGACATCACAATTATTTTTACTCAGTGTATACATGTTCTTTAATAATTCATTTTACTTTTTCACAAGTAAGCAATATTTACCATTATTTCAATAAACATTTTAAATACATAGCCTCAGCAACAGCCTACAGTGGGAGAGAATAAACTAGCTTGCTACTGAAGAAAAAATTAGGGAACCATGTTGGTAGGGTAATCATCAAACTGCATCACGAGGCAAGAGCTAACTTGGAATCGTGAAGGAAAACTAATACATACAAAAATTGCAATGAAATATTCAACTTACTAGTTGTAGTTTCACTATACATACATTCTTCTTCGTCCTCTTCAATATTATTATTATCTAATGAATTTGTTAATCGTTTTGAATTATTTGATGAAGTCTGAAATGATTTTATCCTATTATCATTTTGCCTGTCTTTAATTATATGTAATGGTATATTTGTACTTAACCATATAGGTAACATATATACGTGATTTGATTCACTTATTTCATTCAAATTATGTTCATATTGATTAGATAAAGAGAGTGTATGCTCTTGGGTATTACTGTCATTATTATTATTATTATTATCTGTATGATTACAGCTATATAAATGTTCCAATGCAATAGACTTTTTAATGTGATAATTATTTTTATATGATGATAAATGAGGATCATTTATTGATTGATCAGTAGTTCGTAACTCATGTTTATCATTATTATTATTACTATTATTATTATTATCAATATGACTATCAATAAAACGTAAATTTTCTTCGATAAACTGTATATCTTTATCTAAATATTCTTCCATTGAAGTATTATTTACAGAAGAAACATCAGCTTTAATTCTATTTTCAATATAACCGAATTTATTTGTTTTATTATTGTTATTCTCACTACTAATATCATTACAAATATTAGTAGTAGTAATTGTAGTTATCGTTGAATTAATCATACTATCTATATTAATATTTGGTGTTATATCTGTTGTATGTTTATTAGCTTGAATAAATGGTGTAGTTATACATTTCTCATTATTGATTTTATGAATATCTGACTGAGTAATATTACAATTTGTATTATTATTATTATTTGTATTAATTTGTATAGATTGTTTTAATTTTTTCCTAGGATAATACATAACAATAAGTGCTTCTAATAATTCAAATAAAAATATACAACTAAAACCAATAAATAATGAACATAAACCTCCAACTTCTGAAAATAATTTAGCTAATGAAAATATTTCTTCTTCCATAGCAACTTGTACACTTTCACTACGTACTAATTTTAAACGACTTGTTAATATTGGTAAACCATCTTCAAATCCAGGTAAACGTACTTCACTATGCTTTATAAATTTAGTTTGTATACATGGTAGTGGACATGTTTCATATGGTATTTGTTCATCTTGACATTGCGAACGTTCACATAAAAAATTTGTTTGCGTTGATGTACGATTAATTGATAATAAATCTAATGTACATGTACAATTACAATTATATGCTACTTTAGCACAACATTCAATCCAACCGCATGCTTCACGACTATATAAAAATTCTGTACCAAATAAACTAACTGTATTTAATTTACTAAGACGTTGTTCATTAGTTTTTTGTTTTAATTGTATTTTAGCAAATTGTAAATAATTAGTTGTTTCACTAGCAAATGTTTGTTGTTTATTTTTCATTCGAATTGTATCAAGATAATCTAAATACCATTGATGATGATCATCATCTTCATTATTATTATTATTACTTCTAGCATTAGTAATTGTATTAAGATCATAATCATTCATTTCATTAAGTATTGTTGAATTATGTAATGTTATCCCTGTTAATCTATGTTTTCCTTTATTATTATTATTATTATTATTATTATTATTATTATTATCTTCTTCATCAATATCCATAGTTAATTCGGATGCAATAAATTTTGCATCAGCACCAACATGACATGGATTTCTTCCTGTATTTAGACGTGTTGTTACAGATTTTGAAAAATATAATGAAACAGATGTATCCGGTGGTAAATTTGTATGAATATGACGATCATATGCACTAAATGGTAATTCACCACGTTCATGTGTAATTAAAATAAATGTGACACGATTAGAATTTTCTAGATTACTTTCTTGATTAATACGTATTTCTAAATAAGACCATGATTTTTCTACATTTTTTGATCGTAATTCAAATGTTGTACATAGAAAATTTCGAATATTTGGAACCTAAATGAATAAAATCAATAAAGATGGACATAGATTATTGTTTTTAAAAACTAAGTATATAATTAAAAGAATTATTAAGATTAATACTGTTTTATTTATCTTCATATTGGTTGTTTGAATCGTTTCATTGATGTTTTGGACTGTAATCAATCAGTCTCATATTGACATGTATGTATATTGTGTGGATCGCTTCGATATTGTTTGTAGTTATAAGTATTATATGTAGAGATAAATTACGGCTAGCATTGGAATTCAGAATGCGTGTTTCGCGCTATTTAAGTATCGACAGTTGAATGTGCCTGCATTCCAGAGTTGATGCTGATTCCCAGACTCAAACTCAGTACCAGTGCTAAGTGGATAATGAGATGACGTTTCAGAATGGACAGCACATCTCGGATACAGATACATTCATCTGGCGAATCCCAAATAAGACGAAACACGCGTTTTGTATTCCACCTCTAGCCACCATCCATCTCAGTTTATAATACTGTTTTATATTTTCATTTCCAATACGTCGGGTATTTTCAAAATTATTGCATGCTGTGCACACTTGATAGTTCAAGGGAATGTTAAGTGAGAGATGTCGATAGATATACACTATTGGCCAAGATTTAGCTCAAATACCCAACGGATATATATTTTTTCCTTGAAAAAGCTTGGAGCAGATTGCCAGGCGAAACGTTCTATTTACTTCAAATTCTTTCGGTGAAATTTTACAAATACATTCTTCCTCTTCAAAGTCTCACATTAACTCGACGTCCAAATCTTGTGAAACTAATCGTTCACATTTAGACGAAAGTTCTTATTTATATATCAATGAGTTTGTAAATATTTGGTTCTGGTTTGATAATACAGCATCTTAATCAGTTTTATTTTTCTCACTCAAGTAACACGGTTTGGTTTGTATACAGAAAGCATGTAAAGCAATATTAAAATTGGACAACCACCCAAGTTGCAATTGCTTTGCCACTTTTAATCTGTCTTAGTAATTCATGGTTCATTTCACTGTTAAATAACAAGTTATGCTGATTATTTTCTGATCTTATATCATTCTTTCCATTTTTAACCGTATAAAACTATAACATTTATGTATTTCGACAATCTTCATTTAGAATATTTTTGTCATTTTCATTCAAACAATGAAACATGAAATTTAGATAAAAGATTCCTTTTCAATCAATTTACTATTGATTTGTACATATGTACATATCTATATTGAGATGGTAGAGAAGATTTATAGCTCAGGTGGATGACATTGATGGATTTTTGTTCTCTGAGCTAAATAGTCTTGTCGTGGAGTTTTCACCGTTTTTCTAAACGACATCATCAGCATCACATTTCATTGTTCTATCAAAGTTTACATTATTTTTTATTAAAGTACGATTTCATATTACAAGGGCCTCAGGAATTACATAGACTAGTTGACCTTACGAAATATCAAGATTTTTATAATCTATGCTCAATTATTATACAATATGTATGCCTAATGAAACATTTTGAAATGGTGGAGAAAATTATGCACAAACATTGGAACAAAAGTCAAACAAGTGGAAGATACAACCAAAACAAAGACGTCAACAACGACAGGTTTAAGGTCAACAAGAATCAATCAACATCGAGGTCTACAGGACAAGCTGTGAACCATTTCTATCTGAAGTTTGTACTGATGATGTCGTTCAGAAGAAAGATGAAAGCTCCATAACTAAACCATCCAGCTCAGAGAACAAAACTCCCTCAAAATAATAAAACATTCTCGAGTCGCTCAACCTTACATCCTGAATTCATGACCACTACTAAGCTAGAACACTAACAAATAGGTATAGAATTGTTTATTCATAATATTTCAGTATACTATGCCTTCATAGATGGGATCGCGTATTTTATTAAATAAAGTTATTTTTTAACAAAACTGACTTTAAAAAAAATAATAACAGAATGATAAGCTGCCTCAGGTAGTACTTTTATATTCTCACCAAGTTAACGCCTTATGATTCAATATTTGATCATTTAATTAATTTAATATGAATCTCTGTATCTAAGTAAAAGGAAAATTCATATCATGAAATTTGGTTCAAAATTCAATCATAACAACTCATCACAATAACACGTTAATCTATCCTCTTCTATTTACTACATCAATATTAAATCTCAACTCAATGGATATTTACTTATAAGGTTTCCTTTAAAAAGTATGGTAATAATATTAAAGAACTATAGTATGTATAAAAGTACTTAAGATTACATACATTTATACATTCTGTACTGAATTGATTGTAATAGAAATCTCATTTCTTAAAAATAATTTGACAATATTATTCAAAAAAAGGAGAAAGAAAAAGAAAAATGAAAAAGAAAAACGAGGAAAGAAAGAAAGAAACAACCATGGAAGAAAATGTATTCTAATGGAACGGAATCATTTCAATCATTGACTAAAAGCATTTTTATTTTTATCAGTATGTATTATCATAAAAATTTCCATTGCCTTAGATACTTTTCTCTTTTACATTGTTTCAGTTTTATTTTTTATTTTTTTGTGTGTGTGCAAGGAAAAAACACTTTTGTTTCTACATAATTTTTAAAATTGCGAAATTTTTCGACGATTATGAAATTTTTGTTTTTTTCGAAAAAAAACAAAAAAAATTAACAACAAAAACAGGATCCACAGAAATGTAACTTTACTTTGAATCATTTTCTTATCTTGGAAAATGTGGGGAAAAAAATGGTTAATGTCTCATATGTCTTTTATTCTCCTACTTCTTACACTGGAATTTACTCTCAAGGAATAAATACCATAAAATAACTGACTTCAAAGAAAATGATAAACAGAAGACAATAATAATAATAATGAGGGGAGAATAAAATGAATGGTGCATTGTTAGACCTAAGTAGATTATTGTAGTTGAATATATGTAATGAATGTAGCCTTAAGGTAGAGTGGAATATGGTGAGAGAGAAAATTGAATTGTGAGAATCAAATAATGGAAACATAGGCGATTAGAAATTCGATAGGAAGATAAAAGACAAATTTAAAAAAAAGAATAAATAAAATCACAATGAAAATATGTGAGATCATCATCACTATCAAACATAGGGATAAATAGGTAACTCGTTTTTTTTAGTTTAGGAAAAATAAACCAGATTTGGCATTAAAATTGTGTAAATAAATATGTATATGTTCAAAGAGAAGTTAAAACGTTCATTTAATGATAATTTAATAGACGAATACATAAATCAATGTAAGTCGTCGTGGGTTCGAATCCTGCATACAGAATCATGGATGCACATTGCTGAGAAGTCCCATGCTAGGATGAAACAACCGTATAGTGTTTCCAGGTTATCTATGATAGGCTAGCTAACATCAACTCCACAAAAAACTATTCTGATCATAATAATAATAATTTGTCATACTGTAAATTATTATAATACTAGTTAATTTGTTATTGATAATGTACTTATTCATTCATGTTGGATAATGAGATTGTCTGTAAATAAATCTTTTATAAACTGGCAAGAATTACATACCATTTTATCTATTCGATGGCACTTGATATTATACGCACGATTAGATTTAAGATTATAAGATTTAGTTTTAATCAAGAGAATAAAATGAAACCATACATGAGCACTGCTGAAGAGTCTCACAACAGGACGAAACGGCCGTTCATTGTTTACATGTTATTGATGGTGATCTAGCTTCGGTTGACTCATGATCTTAACTATTAAAATTACTATAATCTCCCCAAAAACCGCTCTCTGATACGAAATAATCACCAGTCAAACATTTCAAACTTTTCTCTAAACTGATAGTCATAAACATATCAGACTTACCTATGTTTACAGTTCTCCATATAAACATATATTAAAGTACCTATTTAAATACTTAATTGATTTTAGCACGTTAGTATAAAATGATGCTGATTATTGGGAAAAATAAATTCTTGTACGTAATAGATCTTTCTTTATGTAAGATCCCTTGAAATACAGTAAACTGGAAAACAATGAATTATTGTTATCGTCTTAGAAGCTAAGCTTTTTATAAAAAAACTGAGTATTTCATTATCAAATTAATTTACAACTTGAGTACTTTAACATAATACTATTTTGCGTCAAATACATAAAATCATACAATAACAAAGAACTTTCTGAACGGTGGCTACCAACGCAATCCATGACTCCCATTTCTTTCTAATTTTAGTTGATCAGTTAGATAAACTGTCAATCTTAGAATTTTAGTGGCCCGTTATTTTGACGCTAATTAGATGGGACGATGATATTGTTGACAGGTTCACCACTTTTTTAGCCTTTTATTTAACCGCAATTTGATCGTATGAATGATTATTATTGAAATATACATATCGTCAATCCTCGTATAAAATTATCGACTTAAATCGCGTTAGTAAATAACAATTAAATATATAAAACACGAGAACGGATTTTTGAGTACGTATATTTTGTACACTTGTAATGAACAAGAACACCAATGCGGACATTACATTACAGAACAACTTATTAAAATCTAACAAACATATAGTGAATCGTTAATTTGCAAAATAACAATCTATCATATCAAACTTGACTGTTCCTGTTGCAAACATTAATTGATTGTCTGTTCTTTCATTGTTCATGAGTTTCCATACAAATTCCATTGTGTTCCCGCTCTTTCTTTCTTGATCTTCCTTCATCTCCTCTGCCAGAAATTACGTTTAAAACTCGCGTCATATACTACTTATGTCTACATAAGTAGCACACATCACACACTCACTGATCTGGGCAGAAAATCAGAGGGATGAAGCGAAGGAAGCAAGGAGAAGAAAGAGAAGCTAAATGATGCATAGTGGAGAAGGCGTATGAAAAAACTCAGTCGATATTTATAGCCAGACTAAAATAAGTTACAGATATGTGATAAATAAGATACATATAAAAACAGTCATGGTTGATAAGCAAATAATTGACAACGTCAAAATGCGGTTTAGGAAGAATGAATAAAGTGGTCTATCTGG